TGTGTGTTTGTAGAAAATGTACATATTTTTTTTGTTTGTGTTGCTAGGAGAACATTCAGTAGACAAAATCGAGTGGTTGTTTAAACCTAATTTCACCCATTTCCCATTTTAATTATTCATATCAATCTTTTCAAACATTTTGTGTGTGGAAAAAAAATATTAAGTAGATATGGAATTAGGTGTTTAAACAATATATTTAAAATGTCCAAAAGTGTTTTAAAACGATGCTTTTTTTATCTTATCCACGTCCAGTAAACCTTTAAAAAATAGGTTTTCCCCCTATAAAAAGTGTAACTGTAAATAGAATAACGTAAAGTAAAGTAAAAATAGAATATTATCTAAAATTAGGCCTATTCTGAATTGAGTTTTTTTTCTACCCACAATTAATGTTAGATAAACCTTTAAAATAAAGAAAACGGATATTTTTTATTTATTTCTGACAAAAACGTAACTGTAATAGTTAAATATGTATTTATTTAAAAGCTTTTACGTTGTTACGGTAATGAAGAAAACTAAATCTTAATGTTTATTCAAACTTTGAATAGTTTTTTCTGACCCCTATTAATGTTAGATACACATCTGTTGCATCTGCTGTTTTGTCTATCTATCTATCTAGCTATCTATCTATCTGTCTGTCTGTCTGTCTATCTCTGTCAAAGGGAGGGGGTCTGGAGTGGGTGTTGGGCGCACAAAACTGGCAGTCAGAAGTCTCTTTCTCCACATTAGGCGCACACGCGCGCATATGGGAAGCCAAACAACCCAAATGTGGGACGAAACAGCGCGGTATTACAGTGTTCGCGCCGCGCTCGTGTTTTTTTCCTGCACATAACATAATGAAGAGTTATTACATTTCTTTTGCTTATTATCTTTCATATTACTACATGTAAACAGTGGTGTTAGCTACTTTGAAGCACGTATAGCCTATATTTAGTAGTCACGTTCACAGCAGAAACTTCCATTATCCTCTTAGAATTAGAGTTTCGTTCATCCAAGGCATATTTAAGTAAATTTTACATTTAAGGATATTTGTGTATCTGTAGCATATGATTATGCTTGAAAAAAAAAAGAGTAAAATGTACTGATACTTTTCTGTCAGAACATACATTTTCCCTTATGGAAATACGGAAATTAACAATGGTTTTACTATAAAAGTGCAGTAACCATGGATTGATTGTCATTTTTTTTAACCCACAGTTTAACTACAAATGTATGGTTAAAAGGTTAGTGTCATAAAATCATGGTTAATTTTAATGTGTTTTCCGATAAACCTAAAACACAATGCAGTGCAAAATTCAAAATACATCATATTGAATTTACATACACTGTCCCTAATCTTTAAAGAGTTTTTTTAAATGAATTAAAATGTATTTATTTAATTTGGAGTGTAGAGAAAACCCTTACAAACCGTATCCATTATATAAAATTGCAATGTTAAAGTTAA